GGGTCGCCAGATACACGGAGGGTGTATCTCGTTGGCTCTCCGTTTTGCCGAGGTGAGGTCAAGTGAATGACCACACTAGGATCCTGTATGCGTGTTTCGGAGACACAGCATACATCAATGGTACGAGATTCTAAGGTTTTAGCCAAGGAAGCCTGCTGACCGATTTGGCATAGTGTGCGTACGTTGAAGGCTCCAATGTATAGTTTAGAGCGAGGTTTCAGTAGACCTGGGACAGTGTTTTGAGCACTAAAATCGTTGGCTGTGGTGACACTTAAGGAGGAAGCTAAAAGAGGAAGTTTAGTGCATAAAGTCGATGTAGGAGGAATAATAGGAATTGAAGAGGGAGGTTGACTATGAATGCAGTGGTCTTGAGTGCTGTTAGAGGTATGAGGGCGGTTATCACTTCCCGGTTGCCCACACCGTGGAAGGGTTCTTCTGGAGGTACCTGAAAAGGAAATTGGATTAGAGTTGGTCATAGTGACCTGAGAGCGTGACCGCAGTGCCCAAGGGACAGCTGCTTGAGGTCGGTCACACACGACCTTTTTATGAGTGATTTTTGTGTTAGCTCCGTACTTGTTGAGTCCTTACCGCCGGAGACGGATATCCGTGGGATAAGGCGAGGTGTGCATTTTTAGGGTCGACCTTTTCTAACCCCACCCCTCCTTGTGGGAAGGCAGCATCGCTGTCATGCTGGTTGTCTGAAGGAAACACCTTACTGCTGTCACACCTCTGTACAGTCAGCAGTACGATTTCGCCTTCCGACCTTGGTTTTGTTGCTTTTAGTCTTACCGCTCTTCAACCGACCTGTCTGGCATGGTAGGACCTTGAGGAACGGTTGTTCCAGCCAGTATAGCTCAGTTGCTTCATCACGATAAGCAAGCCCGACCACCACGTCAAGGTAGCAACAACGGTCAGGGATCATTATTAGTAAAGTAAATTTATTCGAATGTGTGATTGATAAAGATTCTGTCTACGGAAACGTACTTTAAGTCGTTTCTAATGTTAACATCTAATTAGTCTATCACTTTATGCAAAAACGAAGCCTATAGCAAATCAAGTGAATATAAATTGTAGGTTTGTGTACATTTTAATAATTTATGATGGCGTAGAAATTTTAGAACTCGTTTGTTTTATACCTTCATTGATGCAATATAACATAATGATTTTCGATCCACACATTTCAGTTCTCTCTCTATCTACTTAATTCAGTTCCAATAACTGATTATTCTCTTGTTACTTAGAATCGATTACATAAACATTTGTACATGTGTTAATTGCTTGAGCTAGGTCAACATTTTAATACTTCCAGAGAGAGAGAATCGAGTCATGAATTTAAAAGCAAATCACTTTTGTTAAAATGGTTGATTCGATTTTATCTATTTAAACACATAAACATTGGTACACGGAGGCACCAAATAGATATTCACTACATAAATCGTTCGATTTATGTGAGGACTGGGATACTGCTCGGGTGCCCAAACTGGAGCAAGTGGTTATCATAGGGGGTCACACTTGGAGCCTTTGACCTACAAGTCTAATCCACAAGACAGTGGAGCAACGTCAGGAGATGCAGTCCCACTGTAGTGGGTGACCAACAATAGATTCATACACTATTTGTTCAAGAGTCTATATGCACCATTGATTTGAAATGAGGGTTTTCCAACTCTCCGTGTGCATCAAACCGGTTAAAGCGCCAGACATTCGCTTTTCATCCTTTTAATTTCGTAAACAACATCGGTACCGTGAGAAGACAGTGAGTAGGACTTTTCTGGTAGTGGTTGTATGCACGCGACCACTTGAGCGCATTTGAAGAAAAACTCACATTTTTTACTTATACTCATAGAGAATGATGAAATTGTAACAATTCACATATTCTAAACTGTTCACCTATTTCTTCAATAAGTTTGTTCAATATATTTTACTTTGTTCTTTTATATGAAATATAAATGTCATATTCATTTATATTATTATGGACATACATACGTACATACATACATCGGTTTACTGCACATCATTACATAATCTATTAACCTTCTGTGGTTGCATTTTCCGAATGAGATCATGCCAACTCGTGAATAAATATAATTTACATTAATGTAAACACAATTTCAGACAATTATTATTATTAAATAGAAAATCTTCTTTACTGAATTTCGTTTACCTTAGAAGATAGTGACCAGACACGTATGTATATATATATGTATATGAAAAGTAGGTGTATATACATCACTCTTGAAGTAGTCTGGTATTAGCTATTGTCAAAGAAACAGATTTATACATTTCTGTTCGTGATGAAATAACTTTGGACATAATTTGTAAATCTAAAATTGTTTTTTTTTTGGTATTTAAATACAGATTGGTTGACAGTTTGCTGCTGCTACTACTACTACTACTACTACGATTAATGGCCTTGAAATCTAATCGATAGGTATCTAGTCGTTGTTCTTATACAACAGTATAGATATTGGTTCAAGGAGGCACCAAATACATATGCGCCACACAGATCTCATTTGATATGTGTGAGGGCTGTGATACTGCCCTTGTGCTCAAACCGAAGCAGGTGGTTTCTTTAGGGGGCTACACCCTGAGCCTTCGACCTGAAGATCTGATCCACGAGGCAGTGGAGCATCGTAAGGAGATGCAGTCCCATGGTAGTCGGTGACCGACAATTGGTTCATACGCCATTTTTTCCTTCAGGATACTGGGGTCTATGTGCACCATTGGTTTGGGATCCGGTTAAAGCGCTGGACATTCGCTTTTCGTCCTCTCATTTTCGTAAAGAACACCCGTGTTGCGAGAAGGCAGTGAGTATGACTTCCCTGGCAGAGGCTATATCTTAGAATGTGCAGCAGCCTGACTTAATGGTTAAAGCACTTGTTGGTCCAGCCAATCAATTTCGAAATATTACTCCACCCACTTTGCCTTAGGGAGTCGGGTTATGTGACAAACCGTTATACATAAAAGTGCAACTGAACGTCGAGTACTTAAGTTTGTAATTGATGACTAAGTAACATTTTAGACTTATAAATAAAGTGAGGTTTCAAAAGAAAAATATCTTTATAGCACACGTACCTGATAGTGTAGTGAATGCAAACTCAGGTAGAAAAGACCAAGTTATTGTTCGGCACTATATTACAGAATGTCTTCATAAAATATGAAAGCCATACAGTAAATACTGCATTTGCACATGTTCCATCAGTTCTCTCTTACAAATTTCATCGTTTCTTCATTCTTGTTATTACAAATACTCTCTGTTCACATTCATCTTCTTTTCAATTCGATTTTGTCAACTTTCTGCTACTAGGCATTCCACTTCTGATTGGTGTTATATACTACTTATGTCTATCGATGTAAGAAGCAGCACATACTACAATAGACTTATCAATGCCTATTACTTGTAGTGGGAAAAAATTAAATACGTTGACTGAGTTATGAATCTACTTCAAGTAACTTAATCCAAATGGATTAATCACCTTAGTTTGAGTAATTGTAATGCGTACAAGGCCTCAAAGTTTCTTTAACAAATAATATATCAGTTCATGGTTAAAATATGCTTGAGCAAATATTAGTTTTAAGTACTTCCTGTGCTTTATTAGATATAATGGGAAGTTGATGATACCGAATGATATGTAATTCAGGATTCACGTTAATTGTACAGTTTATCATTATATTTTTCTCAACGTTTTACAAGTCGTTAAGACGTGTGTATATAAACCATACTACTCAATCAACCAACGATCTGTTATAATCATCATGAGTTATGAAACACATGGTTTAGCTCAAGTTACCATATCACTTCAGCATGACGGGATAAAAATTAACAGGATGAATTGTAACAGGGTTAAAACAATACCAATGATCATAAGGATAAGAAAGAATAAACATCTGCGAGTGGTATCCTTAATCGGTTCTCTCTTATCATGTAAAGTAGCTGCATAATTTAGCATATTACATTTCTATGGACGTGTTAATAATCTTGCAATATAAAAGTTATTTTTTATGTTTGCGTAAAATTTTTCTACGAATAATAGGATCCTTAAATTGAAAATAAAGATCTAAAAGTATCAGTTGTGGGTTCTTTTTTCAAGGTCACATTGTCTACTCAATGAAATCTCAATTCCATCGTCAGTCTAACTTACTTGAAATTGCGGTATAATTTCTTGTATGTTGTGTGGTGGTTGTAGGCAATCAATAGGACACCCTGAAGGTAGTTTTATATGTTGATTGATCTTCAGCATACAGGAGCATCTGCTATACCTTCCGATATTTTTGTACTGTTTATATCTGATAGGAAATAGTTATTATTATTTATTTTAACACATAAGTATAGGTACAGGGAAGCACCAAGTACATATGCGCCACACGAATCTCAATTGATTTGTGTGAGGGCTGTGATACTGCTCGGGTGCCCAAACCGAAGCAGGTGGTTTTCTTAGGGGGCCACACCCCGAGCCTTCGACCTGAACGTCTGACCCACAAGGCAGTGGAGCATCGTGAGGAGATGCAGTCCCATGGTAGCTGGTGACCAACGATTGGTTCATACGCCATTTGTTCCAGCAGGATACTGGAGCTAGCCCATGTGCACCATTGGTTTGGGATCCGGTTATAGCCGGCGCCGTACATTCGCTTTTCGTCCTCTCATATTCGTAAACAACACCTGTGGCACGAGAAGGCAGTGAGTAGGACTTCCCTGGCAGAGGCTATATACGCATGGCCATGTGAGAGCATTTGGAGAGGGAGAGTGGACTATCCCCACTCTCGGCCATACCAGGGCATTTGGGGGCGCATATATATTTGGTGCCCCCCTGTACCAATATTTATGTGTTCAAATAAATAAATCTATGGTGCCCCCATGATTAGTGAATACTTACTCATTTTAAAGTATAGTAATCATTGTTTTATCGTATAAAATGCAATAGTTTTTTTTTGTTAATTAACAGTTCAACTTGCTTCTATTCATTTCAATGTATACATAATATAACGTTTTTAATTATCTACAGGAAGGTGAATTACACAGTACAAAAGATAAATTAATCTATCAAACTACTTTAAGTAACAGAAATCAAGAAAATTGGATTATGATAGAACAAGAATATCGTGAATTACAGCGTCAACATAGAATATTACAAAATAATTTATTATTAAGTGAAGAAGAACGTTCTCGTGGTGGTGAAATAATGATTGCAGAAAATAATGCTGAATTTGAAGCAGCACGTATGAATTATGAGAAAGAAATTGGTTTATTGAATGTAAGTTAAGTAAATATGCTTTTATGTATATGTCTGTGTATATTTAACACATTTTGTTTTAGTGTTACTGTTTTATCATTATTTATTTGAATATGTAAATATTAGTACAAAGGGGCACCGAATACACATGCGCTACACAAGTCACTTGATTTGTCTGTGGGCGTTAGGATACTGTCCGGGTGCCCAAATTAAAATAATTGGTTTTCCTAGGAGTCAATCTCCGAGAATTCGATCGATAGGTCTTATCAATAAGGAAATGAACACAACGTTAGGAGATGCGATCCTATAGTAGTCGGTGACCAACCACAATTTTATACACCATTCGCACCATTGATTTGAAATCAGGGTTTTCCAACTCCCATCGGTGGATCCTCTGTACCTACAAACCCCGGTTAAAACATCGTACATTCGCTTTTCGTTCTCTCGATTTCGTAAACAACAGCCTTGCTGCGAGGAGACAGTGAGTAAGACTTTTCTGGTAGTGGTTCTTTTCGCTTAGCCATATAAGAGCATTTCAAAGGGGAGCGTGGACTCTACCCACCCTCGGCCGTAATTAAGGCATTTTTGAGCAAAAGTTCGATTCTCTACCGACTAAGCTAACCGGGCATGACTAATATGACATTATTCAAAACTTTGTTCTGTATCAGTTACTTCTCTGCCAACTGATAACTTGTGTCTTTAGTCTTTACATACCATATTTTACTTGAAATGTATCCGGATCATGTTCAATAATAAAATCTAAGGTCTTAGTTTAAGACTCGTTAGCTGGATATCCCTGCACATAGTAATACTCATTACAATCTACCCATAATTCATATTTATCAATAAAGATTGACATTTATACAAGTAAATTCGTACGTCGATTTGTTGAATATCATTATTCACAAATCAAATTACTGTCAAATTTCACTATTGATTAATAATTGGTAAACAAAATCACTTTTCGAAGAATTATGAACTTCAGTATTTCAACGATTATGATGAATTTCCAAACTATCTAACCGTTGAATCTGATGGTTTAATTTCAATTCATTTGTAATATTGAATCAGTCAAATTATCATTAAACTCAACATTAAATGGTCAAGCATCAGTATGTGATATATCTATCAGTCAGTCTTGAGTGTTGTTAGAGATATGAGGGCGGTTATCACTTCCCGGTTGCCCATACCGTGGAAGGGTTCTTCTGGAGGTACCTGAAAAAGAAAATTGGATTAGAGGTGGTCTCAGTGACCTGAGAGTGTGACCGCAGTGCCCAAGGGACAGCTGCTTGAGGTCAGTCACACACGACCTTTTTATGAGTAGTTTTTGTGTGAGGTCCGTACCTACTGAGACCTTACCGCCGGAGACGGATATCCGTGGGATAAGGCGAGGTGTGCATTTTTAGGGTCAAACTTTTCTAGCCCCACTTTTCCTTGTGGGAATGCAGCATCGCTGCTATGCTGGTTTTATGAAATAAAAACATTACTGCTGTCACACCTCTGTACAGTCAACAGTACGACTTCGCCTTCGGACCTTGAGTTTGTTGCTTTTAGTCTTACCACTCTTTAACCGACCTGCCTGACACGGTAGGACCTTCAGGAACGGTTGTTCCAGCCAGTGTAGCTCAGTTGCTTCATCACGATAGGCAAACCCGACCATCACGTCAAGGTAGCAATAACGGTCGGGTGATATATCTATCATGTATAATACTGTGACATTAATCATCATATAATGATGTAGTTATATAATAATTTTATTTATAAAACAAAATACTTTCGTTTGTTTGATAAAATTAACCATTCCCATGATACATAGGTGTTTTGTTCAATTATCAAATTGTGTAACATTTAATTGAATTAATTTTTAGATTAAAACTAACCTATTTATATATTAATTGGAGTAGCTTATTTCAGGGCATTCCTGTTATACACTATATGAGCTTGTTCATTTTTATTTTTTTGAAAACAAATACAACCCCGATCATTTTAATGTTAATTAAATAATAATAATAATAATAATAATAATAATAATAATAATAATAATGCTGTTATGTATATATTTTAGAATACACGACATACTTAATGGATCTGATATCTATCATATGTATTTATAGTATATAGTTAGTTATATAGTTAAATAATATACCCTTATGGGTCAGGGTAATTTTACATTAGTTTTCAGGAGAACCAGACACCATTCAGACTTTTACGTGACAACCCAAACAGTACAGCTTAATCCCGCTTCATAGGAGAGAACCAGACACCATATAGGCTATAACGCTACAATTTGAATAGTACAGCTCAATCCTGTGGCACAACCACATAGGTACCAAGCATCATGGTAGACCATTCGCACTATTCATATATACATTCACGTCACACGTATAGATATTTCGATCAATGATCACGTGAATCAATTATCCACAGCACAAACAGGCCAGTATATAGTATATAGCATATACATTATTTGTAATTTTTGTCGTTATGTTAACCTGTTATATGTGATAGTATAAAATGTTTAGTTTGATAAATAACATTGTTCAATATCCTTGACAAATTATTTATTTATTATTTATTTATTTGAACACATAAATATTGGTACATTGGGGCACCAAATATATATGCGCCACACAAAACAGAGATAATTAGAAGAGAAGGAGAAAAGAGAAAAAAAAAAGTAATGAACGTGGGGAATTATAAAAAAAAAAGAAGAAGAGAGAGAGAGAGAACAATGGTGGGGGAAACGGAAAGGTACAATCAGAACAGATCTTTCAGTTAAGGAAGAATACGACCACCTTTTTATGAAGAAAGTAAAAGAAGGTTACAGCAGGATCGCCACTGGCTTCTATTCTGAGCCATATCTGATAACGTCTCTAGCCACTGCGTTACACCGTCTCTCGGACCCCAACCAGGGAGTCGTGAAGGACCAACACAAGCTAGCCCTTTGCAGCTTTCTTTCATACCACGACACCATGTCATATACTGACCACCTCTCCGCTTTTTCCAACCAGTCCCAGAGTCGGCAAATAATGCACGACGTGGAATTCTCTGGGACGACATTCGTAGAACATGTCCAAGCCACCGAAGTCGGTGTTTCAAGATGGTGACACCAATTTCATTATCGTCTCTGTGACCGAACACACGATGCCGAACCTCTGCATTACTGACATGGTGTTGCCACTGGATGCCAGCAATCCTTCGGAGACAACGATGATCAAACACAGAGAGTCGTCTAACATCCTCAACTCGGAGAGGCCAGGTTTCACAAGCATAGAGCAAAACTGCTCTCACCGTCGCGTTGTAGATCCGACCTTTTACAGCCAGACTAACATCACGAAGGCGCCAAAGATGGCCCAGATTGGCATAAGCCGCTCTGGCTTTCACTATACGTGCATTGATCTCATCACTCACGCCACCACCAGCACTTATGCAGCTACCTAGATACACGAACTTCTCGACTACTTCTATCTGCTCACCATCTAGAGTGAGTACAGGATTAGAATCCTGCCAGTCTTGTAGAAGTACTTTGCACTTCGAAGGTGCAAAGCACATACCATACCTACGGACACTGATTGCCAACTGATTAAGTGCGGATTGCATGGCTTGGGCATTCTCGCACAGTAAGACAATATCATCCGCATACTCAAGGTCGAGAAGTCTTTCTCCAGGCAACAGATCCACACCACCATTACTTACATCCGTCAGAGCTGTTTCCAGAATGTCATCGATGGCAAAGTTGAAGAGGAATGGTGAGATTGGGCAACCCTGCCTAACTCCACTGCTTGAATGGAATAGTGGAGAAAGGTGGTTGTATGCCCTCACTCTACCTGAGGTGTTTGTATATAAGGCTTTTAGGATGTTAATAAACTTCTCAGGCACACCCCTCTTCAATAGACAATCCCAGAGAACAGTTCTGTCCAACGAATCGAAAGCAGCCTTGATATCAAGAAACACTACGATTGTTGGCCTTTGATAAGTATGGCGGTGTTCTAACACTTGGCGGAGGGTGAAGATATGATCAATACATCCTCGACCAGAACGAAACCCAGCCTGCTCCTCGCGAGTCAATCCTTCTCGGGTTCTGAACAACCTACGAAGTATGACGGAAGCCAATAGCTTGGACGCAATCGGAAGTAGACTTATCCCCCGATAGTTGTTACAGGAACAACGTGAACCCTTTTTAAAGATAGGGACAACTATCGACTCATTCCATGACGTTGGTACACTCTCTAGTTCCCAGATCTTTGTAAACAACGTCGTCAGTCCTTTAGTCAGAAAGTCACCACCATCTTTAAAAAGAGCCGGGGGTAAGTCGTCTGGGCCTGGTGATTTGTAACGTTTCAAGAGTTGGAGTTCCTTGCGGACTTCCGCCTCATTTGGTGGATCAGTCGTCACCGGCCAAGGAGGGCAGGACAGTCTGACCGATGTTGCCGGAGCAGCAGGCCAGTTGAACTGCCCTTCAAAGAATCCTGCCCATCGTCCAAGACGTCGATGGATGTTAGTGATTGGCGTTCCATCATCCTCACAGATTGTTTCGCTCACACCAGACTTCTTGCTGCCAGTGGCTCGGATGAGTTGGAAGAGCTTCCGGTAATTACCAGATGCAGCTGCTGCTTCCAACTCACTGGCACGCTCCGACCACCAGGTTTCTCGGTCCTTACGCAAGCTTTGCCCAATTTCAGTACGTAACAACCTTCGTCTGTGGTCAAACTCACGGTCACCCGGAGTAGACCGACGGGCTTCAATCAGTTGTAAGGAACCAGAAGAAACCCAGTGCTTGTAAGCGGGACGTTTCGCGAACCCACAGCTGACTGTACCCGCCATTTTCATGGCGTCATGCAATTGCAACCAATGCTCATCTATACTTTTCGGTGGAATAGTGGCTAGCCTAGAAGCTAGCTCGGCTCGGTACTTACTAGCAACAGAAGTTGCAGCCAGCTTGCTAACATCAATCCTGTGGTGGCGGTCACTTCGTTGTCCACTGAAAAGTAAGGTAAGATTGGCGCAGACCAGAGCATGATCAGATTCCAGATAGGTACTCCAAAAGGAGCGGCAGTCTTGTACACAACCGCGCCAGCGGTAGCTGATCGCGATGTGATCAATCTGAGTCCAGGCTTGAGATGCAGAAGGGGGACGCCAGGTGGCACATCGGCGATGACTGTGCCGAAAGTTAGTGCTAGCCAGAAACAGGTTGTGGTCTGTGCATAGTTGCAGTAGACGTTCCCCGTTATCTGTCCTGCGACCAACGAGTCCCCATCGGCCACCTAAACGACTCTCTTCTGTGCCTAGACGCCCGACCTGAGCATTCAAGTCTCCAGCTAGTACTACAATATCTGTCGAACGCACTTTCTGGAGAAGAACAGATAACTGGTGGTAGAACTCATCCTTGATTGCATCCGGGCTGCAATCTGTCGGGGCATAGGCGGAGATGACGAAAAGACATCGTTTCTCACGCCGATTTCTTCTCACTCTGATGGTACTTTCTAATCTAACAGCACATAACCGACTGTTAATGGGGATCCAGTCGACTAGTGCTGCCTCAGCTCTTGCGCTTAGTGCGACACCAACGCCAGCAAGACCAGACGAATATGCCACAGGGTCCCCGGATAAACGCACGTAAAACAAGCTTTTTGGAGCGACAGATGGAGAGCGAATTTGTAGTACTTCACCAGAGTCTTGAATACGGGTCTCGGATAGACAACACACATCAATATTAAGACTTTCCAAAGACATTGCCAGCCCTATCTGTTGTCCGACCTGCATAAGTGTGCGAACGTTAAAGGCAGCCAGTTTGAATGGTGCGCGTGGTTTCAGAAAGACTGCTTCAGTACTCTTATTCGATGGTAACATACAATTTTCAACCAGGCAGTGACTCGAGAACGTTTAGATAAAGCTGAATTTTTACCATAGGCGAGCTGCTGTCTGAGTCGAAACGGATACAAAAAGTAGAAATAGGAGATAGTGAGTAAGTGACGTAGTAAATAATAATAATAATAATAATAATAATAATAATAATAATAATAATAATAATAATAATAATAATAGTATCAGTCATTTCAATGTTAGTCATAGAAGAACGAATATTTTCCGTAAGCGAATATTTCATCATGTTTTGGTGTGTGGGCTGAGATACTGCCCGGGTGCCCAAACCGAAGCAGGTGGTTTTCTTAGGGGGCCACACCCCGAGCCTTTGACCTAAAGGTCTAGTCCACAAGGCAGTGGAGCATCGTGAGGAGATGCAGTCTCATGGTAGCCGGTGACCAACGATTGGTTCATACGCCATTTGTTCCCGCAGGATACTGGAGCTAGCCCATGTGCACCATTGGTTTGGGATCCGGTTATAGCGCCGGACATTCGCTTTTCGTCCTCTCATTTTCGTAAACAACACCCCCGCCACGAGAAGGCAGTGAGTAGGACTTCCCTGGCAGAGGCTGTATACGCGTGGCCATGTGAGAGCATTTCGAGAGGAGGAGCGGACTCCCCCCAATCTCGGCCATACCAGGGCATTTGGGGGCCCTTGACAAATATGTACACATGTATACGTTCTTTACTACTTCCTTGTTCGTTTTGACTGTCATCACGAGTTGTTGTTTTTCTTTCTGTTTACTTTTAATTTTTGTAAGATTCTCCTTTGTATCCTTTAGTTAGAGAATGTTGAATTCCACATGTGTATTTGTCCCAGTTGTTGTGTTTCTAATAACTGACGAGGACATTAGTGTTAAACGTATGCCAATATACATCTATATAATGGGCTTTGAACTACATACGTTTTGTGATTGTTAGTTGATACTGTCCATCTGTTCGAATTGGATAAAGCTAAACATTGTTCAAATATGTAACTTAATCATTACAAACTGACTCATTCGTCTAGATACAAATTTGAGTATCATTTTCTAAAATTTAGTTATTTGAGTTAAACATTTGTTCTATGTTATACATATACTAATTGAGAATTTGACTTACAGGTATAAATGTTTATCCATTTTTTCGACGAGACTTTAATTTATGGACGAGCCAATCAGAAGCGCTTTAGATTTCAAGGTCACGGCGCCAACTTCAGTGCTTAATGCTGACGTACGATGGGTTCATAAGGAATTTTGTACAAAACGTGATAATAGAGCGCCTATAACAAATAAAACGGAGAGACTATAATTTCTGGCATTATAGCTGATGTCAGTTCGTGATGAAAACCATTTGTTTAATTCTTAACTAAGGCAAATTATGACAGCTATTGTGAACTGGGTAATAAAAGTACCAGTAACACTGGCTGAAGCCAGGCACTACAATATATACTGTTTGCTGATTGGCTAATATTCTCAAGGTCAATTAAGATTCGTTCGAAGATCGTCCATAAATTAAAGTCTCGCCATTTTTTCTTGTTGATATGACTTATTTATTATTTGAACACGAAAATATTCTTAGAGACATGTATACGCTACACAAAGTAGTTATAATAAATTAGTGTGTAGGTTGGGATACTGTTCGTTTGCCCAAATTAAGACAGCTGGTTTTCCTAGCGGGACCACCCTCCGAGAATCCGATCCATAGGTCTTATCAACGACGGAATGAACATAGCGTTAGGAGATGCGGTCCCATGATAGTCGGTGACCAACAACATGTTTATGTGCCACTTTTTCACTCAGTATCGTGGATCCCGTGTGCAGCATTCGTTTGGAATCAGGGTTATCGGAACAATTTTACACTAATATTATACGAATCAAGAATAAATGCGAGTCAGTCAGTCAGTCAGTAACAACGTGGAACTTCGTACGTACGTACATCAGTTCGAGTTGCCATACCACATTAGCACAGAGATTCAATTATCGATTCAAATCCCATAGTGGTAGAGGTACTAAATGTATAAGTAGAGATAGGGGACATGAAGGTTTGATGATGTTATTAGAGGAGTATAGTCCAGTGGAATAAATTGGGAAAGAAAATAAAGGACATGAAGAATTCAGAAGATTAGAGTTTGAGAGAACACAAAGAGTGGATTCACCTGCGCCATTGCAAACGATTTTGAGCCATGTCATTCAAGGTCTCTAACCATCGGTTGCTATCGTCTCGCGGTCCCCAACCAGGTAGTCTACACCTACCAACATGACTCAGTACTATCCACGGAATCTTTTATCTCACTGTACCACGAAACATCAGAATGTCAAGCCTTGACCTATGATTACAAAGAATTAGTATTTAGAAACAATATTTTATATACATTTCTAAGCTTTCTATAATTACAATGAAATGACAGAATAATCTGTGCTAATTGGTTCAACAATGCAGTAGATTCTCAGCAGAATAAATAAATATGTAAATTAGGAAGTTTATATCTCACTAATCAATCACTCTATATATTGACTTCTAGTTCAATCACTTTCTACCATTACAACGTAATCTTTTTTTCTGAAATTCTATATTTTTTTTGCTTCTTTTCTCTAGCAACAATTATTAGAGACAACATTTGAATGTCGTCGTCTAGAAGCAGAACGTGCTCGTGTAGCTGAACGTAATTCTGATTTACAACGTGAATTGGAAACGACTAGAATTTTGGTAGATTCATTAAAACAAAATTCTGAATGCAAACCAGTTGAATATTCAAATCATATTAGAAAAAGTGCACCAATTATTTTATCAAATGTACATTTACCCTCTTCAATGCCCAATGATAATAATAACAACAATAATGGTATTTGTAATAGTAATGGCTTGTATTCAAAGGGATATAAAGTCAATCAAAGATGTCTTAGCGATTCACTTGAAGATTGGGAGGATAGCGATCATGATCACATTGATGTTAATTTTTCACCATCACATCAAATTCGATCATCAATATATCCACATGAAGTTAAGAGTAAATTAAATCATCACTATCATCGTGATTATTCATGCATTGTAAATAGTCGCTTAAACGATGAATCCCGTAAACCAGAATATAATTATTCTAATAATGAAGAGTCAAAATATTTAAAGAGTAAAAAACGTCATTCAAAATTACGTACAGATTCAAAACAATTAGATCGATTGGCTTCTAAAACACAAGAATTGGAAGAGTTTGCCATTCGATTACGTGAACAATTTAATCAGGTAACATTTAATATTTTATTTCTGGTTACCTTAAATCATAATAACTGTGATTAGCAATTAGAAACTTTATGGGACACGACTCATAATCAGTCACTATTTATTTATTATTTATTGATTTATTTTAACACATAGATATTGGTACAAGGAGGCACCGAATACATATACGCCACACAGATCTCATTTGATATGTGTGGGGGCCGTGATACTACCCGGGTGCCAAAACCAAAACAGGTGGTTTTCTTTAAGGGGCCACACCCCGAGCCTTCGACTTGAAGGTCTGATCCACAAGGCAGTGGAGCATCGTAAGGAGATGCAATCCTTTGGTAGCTGGTGACCAACGATTGGATATTGGAGCCCATGTGCACCATAGGTATGGAATCCGTTTAAAGCCGGTGCCGTACATTCGCTTTTCGTCCTCTCATTTTCGTAAAAAACACTCGTGTTGCGAGAAGGCAGTGAGTAGGAATTCCCTGTCAGAGACTGTATACGCGTGGTCATGTGAGAGCATTTTGAGTGGGTGAGCGGACTCCCCCCACTCTCGGCCGTACCAGGTCACTATGGCTCAAATGCATTGACACTAGACTTTCTTCTAGATATTATATTTCAAGATTACTTGATACTTTTTATTTCACCAGATCCATTCAGAAAGAATGGATCTTTTCTAAAATCACTGATACTATTATTTCTATTACTCTGACATTTGTCTTGATAACGTTCATCCCATACCAATGGTGCACATGAGCTCCAGTATCCTAAAGGAGCAAATGGCGTATGAACCAATCGTTGGTCACCGGCTACCATGAGGCTGCATCTCCTTACAATGTTCCACTGCCTTATGGATCATATCTTCAGGTCGAACGCCCGGGGTGTGGCCCCCTAAGAAAACCACCTGCTTCGGTTTGGGCACCCGGACAGTATCACAGTCCTCACACTTATCAAATGAGATTTGTGTGGCGCATATATATTTGGTGCCTCTTTGTACCAATATCTATGTGTTAAAATAAATATAATAATAAAAAATAAACGTTCATCTCATTGTGCTGATATGGTGTGGCAGCTTAAACTACTAACTCATATATGTTCCATGTTCTATATTCCTGATTACTCACTAAAGGAATCTTTCATTTTGTTATCTCTTTTCAGTTAGTTTCATTGATGAGTAATATATTTGACATGTATGAAACAGTACTGATTAACAGAGATCACTATGTTTCGTAATTTCTTCAACTTTATCCATTCTCTTCTCTATGAGCTTTTGTCTGTTGTACACATACAATCAGTTTCTCAGTGTTTGTTTCGTTTATATTGTAGGAATTTCTTTCCTTTTGTTTTATGAACTTTTGTAATACACTTAATTTATGTTAAATCACATAATATCTCTTAATTTGTTATTGTATAGATCTTATCAGAGGAAGAGCAGAATTCTGAAGTACGTCTAAGAAATGTGATTCCCTAACTCTTCTGTATACGTATATATCCATGCATGTGATAAACGTATAATTAGCCTAAGCTTTTCAGCTCTTACTTTATATCATACTTCCTATTTTAAGGAAAATATGAAGATAGCTTTACACTCTGGAATTGCATGCTAATGTTAACATCATTTTCATATTTAAGATGCATGACTTTAATATATTAGACATCATTGTGCTTAAAGCTTACTTGGTAAGGCGAACAAAGTATACCCTATCCGTAATTCATGTAATCTTTGGATCTATTATTTTAATTTTTCTATGTCACTCATTATCAGAAAGGTGGTTTGTTTAAGTCATCTATTAATTCATATACATCAAAGCCCTGTCTCTCGTATTGTTAACTGCTATCATTCATTATTTTGTATTTAATTAGTGCTTAATCATGTTTTTATAATACTCATTTTCTTTCAAGTTGTGTATTTAACTCATCGCTTATTGGTTTGTGTAATTGTCTGCGAATCACACTGGATGTTAAGGACGTGTAGATATTCAGTTGTCCAAACCGATTTAGATGTTATAGGATGTAAACCTGCAACTTAGTGTGACTAAAAGTTAACTGCTTTAACAACTGGGCTATTGGTTTACTTTCATTTACTTCTAATTTAAAGGTCTATAAGTTTAATAGTTTTTCACAATTCTTCTGTATAATATCACATCAAATAAAAATAAAGTTCAGTAAATTTATTCACTAAAATCTACTCGTTTTTTCTACATTTCTTTTATCGATCATCTTTCACTAGCATCAATCCTCCACACAAGTTAATTCTTCATCTGTAGGCGTATATCCCTATTTGATGGATGTTCATAACAATCAACATGCTATGAAAAATACTCCTTTAATAATACCAAAGAATCAATGTCAGTTAAATGGTTTTAATTACGAGCTTGTTGATGAAGATGGTGATGATGTTGAACAAAGGGAGCAAGATACTGATGCTGATTCTTCAGCTTACACAGATTTAAGTCAAGTTTCTCCGGTGTCTCAACCTGCTGATTCAGGTTAGTTTTTATATTCCGATTGTTTTGTAGCCTGTTTATTGTGTTATGTTTTATTTATTACACTCTGTACGACCGTTGTTGCTACCTTAACGTGGTGGTCGGGCTTGCTTATCGTGATGAAGCAACTGAGCTATACTGGCTGGAACAACCGTTCCTCAAGGTCCTACCATGCCAGACAGGTCGGTTAAAGAGTGGTAAGACTAAAAGCAACAAACTCAAGGTCCGAAGGCGAAATCGTACTGCTGACTGTACAGAGGTGTGACAGCAGTAATGTTTTTATTTCATAAAACCAGCATAGCAGCGATGCTACATTCCCACAAGAAAAAGTGGGGCTAGAAAAGGTCGACCCTAAAAATGCACACCTCACCTTATCCCACGGATATCCGTCTCCGGCGGTAAGGTCTCAATAAGTACGGAGCTAGCACAAAAACTACTCATAAAAAGGTCGTGGGTGACCGACCTCAAGCAGCTGTCCCTTGGGCACTGCGGTCACACTCTCAGGTCACTATGACCACCTCTATTCCAATTTCCTTTTCAGGTACCTCCAGAAGAACCCTTCCACGGTGTGGGCAACCGGGAAATGATAACCGCCCTCATACCTCTAACAGCACCCAAGGCCATTCAAAACAGTTAATTCTAGTATACTTTCTTGATAAATTTGGAATTTATGTATACGATTTCACTGGCTGGTGCTTACTGAGATTTTTTTATTATAGATATGATAGATTCGTTGATTTCACACTGTACGGACACTCGGAAATGTATCACTGCAAAGTTCAGTAACGTCTTTATTTCTTTAAAAGGTCCTAAATATTAGTCTGTTGAGTACAGTTTTGCGTATTTCGATTTTAATTGTGCTTTTCACCAATGGTATAAATATTAATAATACTACTACTACGCAACCGTTGTATTCGAAATATATAACTAGAGCTGGTTTCTAATCTGTCATCTCATTAATTTTAAACATTGTACTTTAATCACTGAATCACCTCCTTTCTTAGACTTATGTTTATTTTTACGTCATATATATATTACGTAATAATGATTGAATAATTTCATTAGTTACCGAACAATTATCGAATCTCATTTTTTTACGTTCTTGGTTACTGTGTGTTATAATATGATTGTGTTTGTTCAACACTTCGTTTTTTTTGTTGGTATAAATATTCCGAATGGAACTGTGTTTTGGAGAAGTTTTAGAGTTTCCATAATGTTCAGCAACACGTTTTTGATGGTTTTGTTCTTTGAGCTGGATGGTTTGGTCATGGAGCTTTCATCGTTCTTCTGAACGACATCATCAGCACAAACCTCAGATAGAAGTGAAGTGTTCGAATTTTTCCATATGCGTTTCACAGGTTGTTCTGTACACCTCGATGTTGATTGGTTCTTATTGACCTTAAATTTGTCATTGTTTACTTCTTTGTTTTGGTTTTGTCTCCCATTGGTTTGATTTTTGTTCCTATATTTGTGCATAATTTTCCATCAAAATCACGCACCTGAGCTACAAATCTTCTCCACCATCGCAACACGTTTTGATTTGTCATAGTGATAGACAAAATAGTGACTGATATTAGGTGATGTACAACAACACGATGTTTTAGATATGTGATAGAGCTGGTCACCACACTCTACTGTTATAGAAGTAAACATCCAAACGAGCTGTAGTGAAAAGATAGCACAACTAATCAGTAGGGTAGGTTGATTTTCTAATAAAATATAACTTTTTTATGAATAATATTTAGTATGAAAGTAGATATGATTAATGGGTGTATAAAATATAACTGGATTGTATGGTGAATTTTTCTGGTTAGCGTCACTGTACATCAACTTCATTGATTATGAGAAGGCATTTGACAGTGTAGATAGAAGAACATTTTGGAAACTTCTTCGACACTACGGAGTTCCTGAGAAGATTGTCAACATTATCCGGAACTCATACGATGAACTACAGTGCAAAGTAGTGCATGGAGGAAAGTTGACAGACGCATTCCAAGTAAGGACAGGAGTCAGACAAGGCTGTCTACTCTCTCCCTTCCTGTTTCTTCTGGTGGTCGACTGGATTATGAAGACCTCGACATCTGAGGGAAACCACGGCATACGATGAACAGCTCAGAACCAATTAGACGATTTGGACTTCACGGACGACCTAGCCCTCCTATCGCATACACACGAACAAATGCAGATAAAGACAGGCAGTGTAGCAGCAGTCTCTGCATCAGTAGGCCTCAACATATACAAAGGGAAAACCGAAGTCCTCAAACACAACACGGAGAACAGCAATCCAATCACTCTTGATGGCGAAACTCTGGAAGATGTGGAATACTTCACATAACTGGGAAGCATCGTCGATAAACAAGGAGGTTCAGATGCAGACGTCAAGGCAAGGATTGGCAAAGCTAGAGCGGCATTCCTTCAACTGAAGAACATATGGAACTCAAAACAACTTTCAACCAATATCAAAGTGAGAATCTTCAATACGAACGTCAAGGCAGTTCTACTGTACGGAGCTGAAACTTGGAGAACTACAACAACCACCATCAAGAAGGTACAGGTATTTATCAATAACTGTCTACGCAAGATACTCAACATTCAACATTGGTCGGATACCATCAGCAACAGCCTTTTGTGGGAAAGAACAAACTAGCTTCCAGATGAAGTGGAAATTAGGAAAAGATGATGGAAATGGATAGGACATACATTGAGGAGATCATCAAACTGCATCACGAGACAAGCGCTAACTTGGAATCTTGATGGGAAGCGGAAAAGAGGAAGGCCAAGGAACTCAGTACGTCCGGAAATAGAAGCAGATATGGAAAGGATGAATAAGAACTGGAAAGAGGTGGAAAGGATTGCTTGGGAGATGGTTTGATGGAGAATGCTGGTGAGCGGTCTATGTTCCTTCACGAGGAGTAACAGGCGCTAGTAAGTTGTATGGTGAATAAGTCAAGTTAAATCTTATTTATTGAGTTTAGTTCTCGACTGTCATATTGATGCTGCATTATAAGACAATAAGTTTCTTTTTCTCTATTTCTTTAGGCTTTTTGGTTGTTAACTTTTAATTAGATTCAGTTTTTGTCAATGATAAATACTGTAAATGGAAGTTTTCAACCTTGATCAGTTAATCAATAGTATTGAGTATTTAGGTCATCAAGTCATACATCTAGACTTTTCACATTATACAAACATCTATGTATATGTTATCATTGTTTACACTGCCAAAATTCTGACGATTAATGATCATTATTACGATTATTTTAACAGTTGACATATTGAATGTCTATAATCAACTTGGTGTGTGTATATATTTTTGTGTAGATGTAACTATAACAACAGTAATGATAACAATTTACACTGTTCGTGTTGACATTATGCTTAAGGCAATTATATGAATGCATGCATTTTTTTTTCACACTGTTTATTTTGTTAAGGGTGTAGTATAGTATTTAATAAAATTCCGTTTCTTATTGTTCATTTGTTCAATGTAACAAATGGTTCGTTTACATTGACTACTAAGTGATTATATCATAACAAACAACATAACAGTTTATATAGATATACTCTTGAAATAATTGTTGGAAATGATGAATTGATTGTTTATAGAGATTTACATTCGAAAGAAAAGAAGTACACTTTATATTTATTTATTATTTATTTTCAGTAAATATCATCATTTTCATTTTATTTTGTGTATGAGCTGTGATACTGCCCGGGTGCCCAGACCGAAACAGGTGGTTTTCTTAGGGGGCCACACTCTGAGCCTTTGACCTAAAAGTCTAACCCATAAGGCAGTGGAGCATCGTGAGAAGATGCAATCCCATGGTAGCTGGTAACCAATGATTGGTTTATACGCCAATTGTTCCTTCAGGATACTGGAGCTAGCCCATGTGCACCATTGGTTTGGGATCCGGTTCAAGCTGGTGCCGGAAATTCGCTTTTCGTTCTCTCATTTTCGTAAACAACACCCGTGTTGCGAGAAGTCAGTGAGTAGGACTTCCCTGTCAGAGGCTGCATACGCGTGGCCATGTGAGAGCATTATGTGAGGGAGGGCGGGCCCATCCCACTCCCGGCTATACCAGGGATTTGGGGGCACGCCTCATATAGTTATCATTCTGTATTTATTAGGTTATATTTGCATGTGTTTTATACTTTTGTTCCTCGCAGTTGATATGTAATCTCATTGAAGTAGTCATATATTTTTTCTAGTTCATTATGTTATATCTAATAAAGGCTGTTTGATGTATCTATGGTTTCAATATTGAATCATTTAGTTTAGTGTAATGCAGTAACCAGGTACTAATTTATTGTTTTTTCGGTTCTCGTGAACACTTTTCATATCAAAACGAATGACATTACCATTACTTTAAACAAACCATTATGATCAGACAGTGCAATCAAAGTGGTTCGTTTGATGGTTTCAAATACTAACACTAACCCTCGCGTTCAGTATAGTTTGAATCCAAGTACAACAATCTATATTTAGTGCCCTACAATTAATTAGATTACACTAGGAGATAATAACCCAAATCAAATTAGATTGTAAATGATGTTCAAACTGAATGTTTGATATTCCAGTCTTTCTATTATCAACACAGGTTTTCATTATTAAGTCATTTAAAATGATCTTTGTAAGTAATTTTCAAAATTAACGAAGAATAGAGATTTCGAATTAAAGCTTCCCGGTTGCCCATACCGCGGAAGGGTTCTTCTGGAGGTACTTGAAAAGGAAATTGAATTAAAGGTGGTCATAGTGACCTGAGAGTGTGACAGCAGTGCCCTAGGGACAACTGCTTGAAGTCGGTCACATACGACGTTTTGTGGGTAATTTTCTTGTTAGCTCCGTACTTGTTGAGATTTTACTGACAGAAGCGGATGTTAATGTATATATTTGAATAGACTTGTCTTGGACGATGAATGTATTTTTTTGTACTGAATTATCATTCATTCTTTGTTGATGTCTAATAGTTTAACTTGTGTGCAACTACTGATTGCAATATGGTATTTCTTTGCTTTAATGGGTTCATTTGTTTGTTTTTTTTGTACAGGATGCCAGAATACTAAGCTAACAACAAATAATTTGCAAACTAACACATCACATAATGGTCAATCGATGCTTCAACATCATTCACAATCTGTTGGGTTTATGCCATCAATCTCGAAGAATTTAAGGAGTAGTTCCCCCTTGTCTTCTGGTATTTATTATTATTATTATTATATCTTGTTTATATTTTGCTTTGAAATTTCTGTACATTTTGTTCATTTCTTTTCATCGAGTTTTAGTTTCTTTTTACAGTGATTCCATACTATCAATTGTGTCATTCTGTTATTGAGTTCTATTTCAGAGTTCACTTTTTAGTTACTCTGACTTTTAACATAAATAATCTTACTATGATACTAAGTTGATGGAATTCACTGGATTAGAGAATCAGCTTTGTAAATTTCACCTCCCGGTGAGAAGTTGATATTTTTTCTGAGAATATCACGTTGAATTTCTGGATTCAACGCTTGATGATGAGCGTACTAATATCTTCAGGGCGATAGCTTTTTACGATTTCAGATGTAATGAACCGTTAATAGTCCGATCCAAGTTGTAAATAAGTACATCAACTAAGAAAAGTTAAGGGTATCTAAAAAAAAACACCACAAACAAGTAAATGAAACATTCGGTAAGAAATCTCAACTATATACAAGTGACATTCATGTCACATTCTTGTCTAGTCGAGTTTTTCCTCTGATCTAACTCTATGCTGTTCTAGTATAGAAGATAGTATTAATCAACTTTAATGTGTTTTGAGCCCCAATTTTCGTTGTGATAGCTCATTTGGCTTTTGCCAACTTACGTCATCTATGGCGGCAGTTCGTCCCGTTTTACTATACGGCTGCGAAACATGGCCTTTAAGAGTAGAAGATACTCGTAAGCTACTAGTATTTGACCACAGATGCCTTAGAAATATTGCGGGTATCTGCTGGGATCACCGGGTAAGTAACAGTGAGGTTAGACGCATGGTATTAGGGAATGATGGTAAATCAGTTGATGAGGTTAGGAATCCTTATCGACTGAGATGGTTGGGCCACGTGTTGCGTATGCCTGAACACCGATTACCACGACGCGCAATGCTGACTAGTGTTGCGAATGGTCGGAAGAGAGTTAGGGGAGGCCAAACCGAAACGTGGCATCAGTCCACGAAGTCAATAACTTTTGGTCTGAGCCATGTTGGTAGATCCAGACTGCTTGGTTGTGTTCCGTGTGACTATCTTAACCAATAGTTGGAGACTCTTGATGACATGACTCAGAATCGATCACAATGGCGTCGGTGTTAACACTCTCTGTCTTCCTTTAAACTATGAGATTAAAATCACTTCATATCATTCTTTCTATGAAATAAATCTTTCTTCCTGTACTATCTCGTTATATGCAATCGTGCTTTTATAATATTACCACCACTGGATTAACTACTTCTATGAATTCGGTGTTCATCTTGTTGTGCTAATGAGTAAGGTATGGCAACTTGTACCGATGCATTTATGTGCCTGGTCCTATGTTGCAACTGACTGATTAATATAACTTGGAGGCTCAAAATTAAATAAACATCTATTTCAGCATGTAACCCTGATGGTTGAGAGCCATTGTTTTCATCATTTATTTACTACATGCTGTATTTATATAATAGTGCACTTCTCTTGATCGTGTTCAAAATGATCATTAAAGCTTCATAATTATAAGCCAACTTAATTGTTAGGAAATATACAACACTAATCTTAAGGACTTATATTTATAAGATGATAGTGTAGATCTATAACTCCATTAGAAATCTATGTTTATACACTGTATTCCTTATTAAGTAGTCAAATTGAATTAATCGTATATAATAATAATAATAATAATAATAATAATAATAAAGATTTGTTAATGAAGTAATATGATCGATTCATATATAACACACATAGAAGAAACCATTCAATCTACTGTAGTGCACAAATTTATTATTATTATTATTATTACATGTTTAAGAGAATATGTCATCTATTTAATGGAACATTTATAATGAACAATAATTTATTGATGATCATTTGTGTTGTGATTTTTCCATCAATTATTGATTTATCATTTCTTCTTATTCTCTATATGATTAAGAAATGATAATTAAGAAGTTTGTTTTTATTGATTTAAATTATCCTCTTTGTTGCTATAAGTGAAATGAAATGAAATACAATTTTGTATATAAATTCGTGAATGTACACTGCTACGGACAAGTCTCACAATAGGACGAAACGGTCGTCCAATGCTTTCAGGTTTCCTATAGTTGTGATGGTCTAGTTTCAACTGACTCATGATATTTAACCCTTGATATTATTATAATATCCACAATAAACCCATTCTCTGATATTAATAAATTATTAGTTTATAAGGCAATTTAACACTACCAGATTATCACTGATATTTGTACAAATAATATTGCAAACATTAGTTATTTGTACGGTAGTTATCATGAATATCCAATCATTTAGCAATATTAAAATTTATAGTATAGAAGGTTTGTTAAAATGACTTACTTTGTGGATCACATGTACTGATTTTAAATAGATAACCGTTGAGAGTCAACATTGTCTACATGTAGATTCTGTGTATCTGATGAGTTCACCATTTTATGTAACTGCTCGAGGTTAAGTATCTTAAACTGATTCTAATAACAATAATTTATTCATTTGTTTAAAATAAATGATGTGGTATAATTCCATCAAGTTGTCCGTAGGATAGTTTTATTGGTTAACTTTAGGGAAAATATAACTTGGTCGCAATAACTTTCGATCTGCACTAGGAAGGACTTGACATACATGACATTGATCACCACCTAGTGATCAATCATATGTGAAAATATTCCTTATTTAGAATAAAGCATCTATTCACTGTTCCACTGTCGAATAAAGTATAATAATAATGCTGATAAGATGCAGGGATTATATTTAACATTCATTAACGTGACTAAATTAAGGATTGTAGTAGTCGTGTGACATTTAACGATTGTTTCTTATAGATTTAGTTTGTAATATTCTCGATTGTATTATTATTTTAGCATTTCAGTTCAATGGTTCCGGTTCTAGACTTTCTGATCCAATACCATCTTCTTGGAGTTTCGGTAACATGATGATTATATCTTTAGTCTCTTTACGCGCAATATGTTATATCCTATGGCTTAATAATGCATGATTGAATTTTAATCTACATGTTTCATCGACGTATCTTTACTAAACTTTGTTTAGCAATGTTGTCTGTCTCTTTAACTTGGAACTTTTTATAAACCCTCACATTAATTGATATCCATATTCCTTTCATTTTTACAAACAATCAATTGATCATCTATGTTGTTTCTTTTTCTTAACCATATTCATTGAATGCTTTAATTAAAAAGCATGATCAAGTATGTTTTATTCCAATTTACATGTTATCAATAATTGTATATATCTATATCTATATATATATATATATGTGTATTTTATTTTTACTTTTCATAATTAGATCCTAATCGATTAAAAGAATTACATCTACGTAATCGATTACAACCTTCACATTTACGATCAAGTTATCCAGTTGAAACTCAGGTTAGTTGCGGTTTTTATTTCTTTATCTCTCTCTCTCTCTCTTTCGTTAGTTCCTTACTGTTGAAATTACAATATTTATATTCTGTCAGCTGCAACGTAGGACCAGGCACATCAATGCATCGGTTCAAGTTACCATACTTCATTAGCACAATAAGATCAACATCGGACTCATAGGAGTGGTGTTAATATATATTTAAGAAAGATTGCATATAGGGAGATAATACAGGAAGAAAGAATTAGTTCGTAGAAAGAATGATATGAAGTGATTTTAATCTCATAGTTTAAGGGAAGATAAAGAGTGTATACACCGACGCCATTGTGATCGATTCTGAGTCATGTCATCAAGTGTCTCCAACTATTGGTTTAGACAGTCACACGGAACACAACCAGGCAGTCTGAATCTACCAACATGGCTCAGACCAAAAGTTATTGACTTCGTGGACTGATGCCACGTTTTGGTTTTGCCGGTCCTAACTTTCTTCCAACCATCCCCAATACCGGTTAGCATTGTACGCATAACACGTGTTTATATTGATAAAATAAGAAAAAAAAGTGTAGATAGTGAAGTTGAATTTTGTTGTTGTAAATCATTGTAATACATTGGTTACAGTAATATGAATTTTATTAAAATAAGAAGTATTGTGGGAATCTTTCTGATGTTGTTATGCAATACGGTAGAAAGAAATATAAAGGTTTTGGATACTCTCTACCTTAAGTTTCACATATTTCCTATAATAGAATAACTTAAACTAAAGTTAGGGATTATTGCCTATCAAGTGAAAGCCGAATACTTCAACAAATGATGTTTCAACCTAAAGTCTTTGCAATTTAAACCATTTAAATATCATTATTGTTTAATATTTGTAATACTATAGATACTACTATTATTCCTGCTCTCTTTTATTATATCTTGTAAGTTTCACTTAATAATGCTTATTTCATTAAGCAGGATTTAATTTATTGTGAAGTTGACTTCTCTTCACTTGAAGTGATTCGTTTCAGCCTCAATGTGAATGAACGATCCAAGTTGTTGTTTTTGCTGACTATCATATATGGTTTTATTACACTTATATCTGTCAGTAATACATTGTGTTCCTATGCAATTTTTAATTGTAAACACTTCTAATTACTGAGAAATTCATACAAACTACGTTTTCTAATTTTATAATGTATTAAATTGAAATGTTCTATATCTAGTGAACCTGCCATAAAATATATCTATAATAGACACACATAGAACAGATTGCTCATACTAACATGATATTGTCTAATGAACAAGGCCTCACACCCTATCAATCAAGTTACAATAAACCCACTAGCATGAATAATTTGCAACGCGTGCACTATACTTTGATGTTAGATGGTTAGTGGTAGCCTCTAGGGTACTCCTGGACGTAGATTTTGTGCGTACTTGAAATCTTAATGGAACTAATATTCCCTGTGTGATGTGAACTCCAATCACTCAGCTTCATAGTCCGAAACGTTACCACTGAGCTAACTGAGATGTAACTAAGTTATAGGACTTAAATCACTGTGTACGAATCACATATTTAAAATGATTTAGAACTATTGGCACTGTTCTCTAGTTGAATAACTTGGATATGTGGTTAGAAAAGATACAAACAGTTAAGAATTTGAATTATTTGGCAAGCTGAATTATGTGTCGATTATTCACCAATTAACTTTCCTACCAAATTTAAAGCTAAAACAGAAAATGTATTATTTTCTATGACAGTCATGGTCATTGTAACCAATGAGAACAACTATTGATAATGGCACTGATTAGATAACAACTATATTGTAATTCTTAGTACTGATTGACATATACCATTCAGAGAATCCAATGTCCCAGTCTCAATTTAATTTGTATTCTAGTATATGTATATACGTTGCTAATAAAATTACCACTGTGTGCGAATTCTAGTTTTGAAATATCTCTATGATCGGCTTAAAACACAACACTAAATATACTAAACCACATTATCGTGCTACTTACCTTCGTGATTTATAATATTCAATAAACACTAAAGATTTTCCCTAGTACTTTACAACCAAATCGTCTGTGTATATTGTTTCATCCCCATAATTATAGAATTCCGATTCTATTCTCCTTCATTACAGGTGATCAATTCAAATGATATAGTTGGCACTTTGAGCCAAATGACTACTGACAACGTTAATCAATCACCTAATCGAATCAGAGCAAATGGTCGAAAAATGCATCATAGTAATTCTCACAATAAAGAACCTCCTGTAAGCAATATTAGTAGCAATCCCACTTCTAAAACTGTCCCCTCTTTATTATCAAATGATTACCAAAAGAATTTGCATATCAAATCTAGGCACGATAATAATTTTGAACTAGAATCAACGCCTTCACCATTAGCTGCTGGTTATCAACCCCTCCCCAAAGATATACAATCGTTTAGTGAAGCACTTATCTCTGCATCTGTGGATATTAAAACTATGGATTATGTATTAACTACACATCCTAATCTTATCAAGTCTGCCAATACTAATAACGACAATAATAATAATAATAGTAACGGCTGTAAATCATCACAATCCTTGTCTTCCAGTATCCAGAATGTAAATATCCCAACTTCGGATAGAAAATCTGTGAGTATCTACTTTCTCTATATGTCTTTGCATGAGATTTTGGTACCTGAACTTCTCCTACTTCCGATATCTTAAACAATTATATTCAAAGATCACTAGATTGGGGTCTATAAAATCTTATCTTTGAGTTATTATATGACTTATTTTATTTTATTATTGATTTGAACACATAAATATTGGTACAAGGGGGCACCAGATATATATAATATATACATTATATGACATAAAATATACTCATTTTTAGTCCTACAACTGAGATATGTCTTACACATGCTCAACCACCGCTTATCCAGATATCCAGTGATTTCTACCATATGAGTACGTTAAAAGAAGACTAAGGTGGTGAAACCGAAACATAGCACCAGTCCATAAAGTCACTGAATGTTAATGTGATCTATGTAGGGTGATTCGAATTTTCTGAGTGGAGACCCTTAAGTGATATTGTAGTAAATAAAAAATCAGATGAGGAAAACCGATTTATTGTTTAATGCACAATCACACAGTGGTTTAGCGAAATGTGAAAATCATATATCATTTGCACATTTTTTAAAATTGTCTTTTAAAAAGCTTCCTTGTTCTTTCATTCCTTTTATTTTAATTGCCTTCCATTTCCTTCTCTCTTTTCATTTCAATCTTCTCAACTTTCCGTTCGCGGAAATTCCACGTCCGACCGGTCGTCTTGCACATTAGTCATACCTGCAAACATGAGTAGCATACATCCCAATATAACTTGTAATTGTCTATCATCACTTTTGATCTATATTTAACACAATTTTTATGGTGACTTTGGACGGTCGTGATACTGTTAATAAAGTATGAATTTTCGCTCATTAGTGAGTTTTCAGTCAGTCAGTCAATCAGCAACAACATAGGACCAGACACATATATGCATCGGTACAAGTTGCCATATCTCACTCATTAGCACAACAAGATGAACACCGGATTGATAGAAGTAGTTAATCCAGTGGTGGTAATATATAGAAGAAAGATTGCGTATAAGGACATTGTACAGGAAGAAAGAATTAGTTCGTAGAAAAAAAAACATGAAGCGATTTTAATCTCTTAGTTCAAAGGAAGACAGAGTGTGTATGCACCGACGCCATTGTGATCGATTCTGGGTCATGTCACCAAGAGTCTCCAACTATTGGTTACGATAGTCACGCGGACCCCAACCAGGCAGTTTGAATCTACCAACATGGCTCAGACTAGAAGTTAGTGACTTTGTTGACTGATGCCACGTCTCGGTTTGACCGCCCCTAACTCTCTTCCAACCATTCGCAACACTAGTCAGCATTGCGCGTCGTGGTAATCGGTGTTCAGGCATACGCAACACGTGGCCCAACCATCTCAGTCGATAAGGATTCCTAACCTCATCAACTGATTTACCATCATTCCATAATACCATGCGTCTAACCTCACTGTTACTTACCCGGTGATCCCAGCAGATACTAACAATATTTCTAAGGCATCTGTGGTCAAATACTAGTAGCTTACGAGTATCTTCTACTCTTAATGTCCATGTTTCGCAGCCGTATAGTAGAACGGGACGAAGTGCCGTCATAGATGACGTAAGGATTCATAACCTCATCAACTGATTTACCATCATTCCCTAATACCCTGCGTCTGATTAAACTATTACTTACCCGTTGATCCCAGGAGATACCAGCCAGTCATACAAATGATAAAACTTGAATATATATAATGCTCACTCATTGTAGTCGTGAAACTCTGAAAATGTTTTCATGTGAATCATTTGCAATTATGCTTTGGTTTATCTGCTATGTACAATTGTAACATTTCCGGTATTTCTAGTTAAGGTTCAAAATTTAATCCTAGCCTTACGGTTATTGACCTTGAGTGAAACATCTCGAAAATCAATGATAATGAAAGAATTACATTTCTTAAATCTTCCAATTCTTGGATTTCAATATTATTTTATACTTTTTATTTGTTTGTCTTAAATACCTTTTCTTCTACATCATTTTTTATTTTATTTAATCAATTCACTGTCAATATGTTGATGTGGACTCCTGATCTGAATATAACTAACTAGATGGCTTCATTGTATATGATTGGTGTTTCAAAGATATTCATCTGTTTACTGTCTAATTCGTAAAGCAATCTAATCTTAATTCTTTATTTAGTTGAAGGTGGTTCTGTGATTGGTGTCGATTCCTGATGATGCCCTGCTACGGCCGAGATTAGGGAGAGTCCACTCTCCCTCTCGAAATGCTCTCACATGGTCACGCGTATATAGCCTCTGTCAGGGAAGTCCTACTCACTGACTTCTCGCAACACGGGTGTTGTTTACGAAAATGAGAGGACGAAAAGCGAATGTCCGGCACCGGCTTTAACCGGATCCCAAACCAATGGTGCACTTGGGCTAGCTCCAGTATCCTGAAAGAACAGATGGCGTATAAACCAATCGTTGGTCAACGGCTATCATGGGACTGCATCTCCTTACGATGCTCCACTGCCTTGTGGATCAGATCTTCAGGTCAATGGGTCGTAGTGTGGTCCTTGTTCGGTTTTGGCACCCGGGTAGTATCACAACGCTCACACATATCAAATGAGATATGTGTGACGCATATGTATTTTGTGCCTCCTTGTACTAATATCTATGTGTTAAAATAAAAAAAAAATTCCTGATGATGAAATCAACTTACAAAATTCATTATATTTTTAATAATTTCAACTTATTATTTTGCCTTGGTTTTATGAATTATGTGTTTTATCTTGTTTGTTTTTTTTTAAAAAAATCAAAATAAGGGATTCTGTAATAGTATCCCTGATACATTTGCAAAACATAACAAAAATCGTACAAAATATAACGTACATGAACTAAAAATCGACGGTGGTACTAGCGGTGGTTTATCCTCTGATAATGAAAATATCAATCCTCCTATATCAAATATTGCCTGTCGTAGATTCACTGATGCAGATCTATTTGTTAAACCATTGGATCCTGTTCATGTTCATCGTCATAGAAGTAAAAAAGTCGATACATATTCTACTCCACGTACTAATGGTATTTCATCAACAAGTTCTGTACAAAGTGTTGATGATCTTAGTGGTGCCTCAAGTATTCGAAGTAGTAAGGTTAGTATTGGTGCAATTTTATTTTAATTCATACTTTAAGATTATTTATTTATTTATTTATGCTTCAACAGAGTTCAAGAATTCGATTTCATCATTTCATTTCCTATAGTTTGAGAAATGGATTAGTATTTTTAGCTCTTATCTAACAGATGTCGCTCATTGTATCAAAAGACATCAACCAATAAGTCACAATTTCACTCTCATTATCATCTAATTTATGTTGCTTTTAGTTAGAAAAAATGACAAGTAATTAACTGTTGTTTTGATTAATCGCTGCTTTCAATATATACAACTATCATGTGCATAATTTTGCCATAAGCTATAAAGTAGATCAATTGTGTGAAGGCTAGCCATGCATCTTAACTCCCCAATCCTCATTAAACAATACCCTGAGTCCTCATTTGACCTACACTGACGTAGCTACTTATCTTGACACGGATTCAGAATGCTAAATTGGATTTTGACAACTCGTGTCACTTGTAGCGTATGTAAAATAATCGTCTGCCAACCAGTGAACAAGTTTACTGCGCTGCAGTTCTCCACGTCCTAATTTTTGTGTGTGAAACATAACGATTAAGCATAGAGGATGCTCGTATGTTACTAGTGTTCGGTCATTGGTGTCTTCGAGCCATTGCTTGTGTATTTTGGACCACCGAGTGAGCAGTGTCTGCGTTAGGAATATGGTGCCTATTAAGGTTGGCGAATCAATTGATGAGGTAGTAAAATCTTCACCAACTTAGTTGGTCGGGAGATGTGTTACATGTGCACAACCACTGCCTACATCGACGGGCGATGTTTTCTAGTGTAGAAATAGTCTGAAGGAAACTAGGGCCTGTCAAACGAAGAAATAGCATCAATCCATGTAGTCATCAACAATCGGACCAAGTCATGGTTAATAGGTACAGACTATCTGGCTGGGGTCCGTGTGATTCTCGTAACGAATGGTCAGAGACGTTGAATAGCACAACCCGACATTGTTTGCAATGGCGCAGGTGAATCTGTTCGCTTTTCTCCTTCGAGTTCGGAACTGAATCCCTCATAATTTTTTATTTCGTGTTTTTACCCGAATAATTTGTACTTTTTAAAACTGTATCTTCGATGCCGTCTTTTCTGTCTAACTTGCTCGTAAAGTGAATTATCTATGGGTTATAGACATAATGAAGAGAATCCCAATTTTTTTAGTTATAAGATTAATTTTTTGTTTGACTCATTTTCGTGAATGGTATCAGAGTTCTGATACTTCCTGAATACAAGTGGCTTCTTAAGAAATCATCTTTCGTTACTTCAACCTAAATGTTTAATTTCCAAGTTAGTGAAGCGATGTCACTAGATGCTGTACCCTCGGAGTTATCAATGTTCGTACTCCATTCTTTACCAGCTGATTTAATATCATATCTGCACTACGTTTTATTGAATAAAACGATTTTGGTTGTCCTGTGCACTTATTTATTTATTTAAACACATAAACACTGATACATGGAGGTACCAAATAGATATGCGCCACATAAATCGAACGATTTATGTGATGGCTAGGATACTGCCTGGTTGCCCAAACGGAAGCAGGTGGTTTTCTTAGGAGACCACACCAGGAGCCTTTGACCTAAAGGTCCAATCCATAAGACAGTAGAGCAACATCAGGAAATGCAGTCTCATGGTAGCCAATGGCTAACAATAGATTCATACACCATTTGTTGCCTCATAATATTGGAGCCTATGTGCACCATTGGTTCGGATCCTCTGTATCCTATATATTCATCATTCACTTGATTTATTTACCAAACATCTGTATTTGTCATTTCAGTTATATTTTAACATACTCTCTCTACATTCAGTTACAGTTAAGGATTGTATATTTTATGATAGAAAGCAAAGTCTCACCCCCCTAATCTTCAATGTTTCATTAATCTTAATGTTTTCTCAATTAGATTGTATGTATATTTGTTAGTTATTTTGATCTGTTTTGTTGTTGTTGTTGTTGTTGTTGTTGTTGTTGTTGTTGTTGTTGTTGTTGTTGTTGTTGTTGTTGTTGTTGGGTAAATTATGACACTATTATGTATATCACAATCAAAACTATGTAACCTGCATTTCTTTCCATATAAATTGTATCTTTTATCATATTTATCATGATTGTTTTTTTTTCAAAAAAAGAGAAGAAACAAATATACATAAAATTAGTAATTGTAATTATATAATAACCCATACAAATCTTTGAATTGAATTGTCATCTGCTTACCTACTCCTTTCTGTATATCTCGATGTGTCATCTATGATATTAGGATAGTCAATATGTGTATATTTATCTTATTACTACTTACTATTCAATGATTGACAACTTGAATGATTGATTGAAAAGAAAAGAGTACAAAATTGAAATTCCTTTTCTCTTTACAATTTCTAACATTTAAAGAAAAGACAATAAAAAAAAGAATGTTCTTCTTTTTCTTTTTCATAACTTACTTACTTACTTACTTACTTACTTACTTACTGTTACTCTCAATGGAGTACAGACCGCCTAGTAGCATTCTCCAACGCACTCGTTTCTACGTCTTCGTTTCTAGTCCTATGCTATTGTTGTTCATTCTTTTTATGTTATTTGGTCTTTCTCTTCTTCTTATTTAGTCTTGAAGATTTCAAATGAGAGCGCTTGCCTTGTTATGACACAATTAGGTGATTTCCTCAATAGGTGTCCTGTCTATATAAATAAATATAATACGTAGCAAATTAATCGAAATCATCATGCTATCATTAATCCTGACCGTTGTTTCTACCTTGACGTCGTGGTCGGGTTTGACCATCGTGATGAAGCAACTGAGCTATACTGGCTGGAACAACCGTTCCTCAAGGTCCTACCATGCCAGACACGTCGGTTGAAGAGCGGTAAGACTAAAAGCAACAAAACCAATGTCCGAAGGCGAAGTCGTACTGCTGACTGTACAGAGGTGTGACAGCAGTAAGGTGTTTCCTTCAGACAACCAGCATGACAGCGATGCTGCCTTCCCACAAGGAGGGGTGGGGTTAGGAAAGGTCGACCCTAAAAATGCACACCTCGCCTTATCTCACGGATATCCGTCTCCAGCGACAAGGTCTCAGCAAGTACGGAGCTAACACAAAAATCACTCATAAAAAGGTTGTGTGTGACCGACCTCAAGCAGCTGTCCCTTGGGCACTGCGGTCACGCTCTCAGGTCACTATGACCAACTCTAATCCAATTTCCTTTTCAGGTACCTCCAGCAGAACCCTTCCACGGTGTGGGCAACCGGGAAGTGATAACCGCCCTCATACCTCTAACAGCACTCAAGACCACTGTATTCATAGTCAACCTCCCTCTTCAATTCCTATTATTCCTCCTACATCGACTTTATACACTAAACTTCCTCTTTTAGCTTCCTCCTCAAGTGTCACCACAGCCAACGATTCTAATGCTCAAAACCCTGTCCCAGGTCTACTGAAACCTCGCTCCAAACTATACATTGGAGCCTTCAACGTACGCACACTATGCCAAATCGGTCAGCAGGCTTCCTTGGCTAAAACCTTAGAATCTCGTACCATTGATGTATGCTGTGTCTCCGAAACACGCATACAGGATCCTAGTGTGGTCATTCACTTGACCTCACCTCGGCAAAACGGAGAGCCAACGAGATACACCCTCCGTGTATCTGGCGACCCGATGGCTAGTTCTCGTGGACTTGGTGTAGGCATAGCACTTAGCATGAGGGCGGAACAAGCGCTATCAGAGTGGATCCCCGTTAACAGTCGTCTATGCGCTGTTCGGCTAAACGGCTCCGTAAGAACTCGGAAGGATAGGGACACACGTCGTTGCCTTTTCGTCGTTTCTGCCTACGCTCCCACTGACTGCAGTTCGGATGAAGTGAAAGATGAATTTTACAGAAAGCTGTCTGAACTTCTTCAGAAAGCTAAACGTTCAGACATAGTACTCGTAGGAGGTGACTTTAATGCCCAGGTAGGTAGCTTAAACAAAACAGAAAGACATTTAGGTGGGTATTTTAGTATTCCGGCACAGCGAACAGATAATGGTGATCGTCTGCTGCAACTGTGCTCAGACAATCGTTTATTTTTAGCAAACACAAATTTTAAGCATAAGGAGAGACATCGTCTAACATGGCGACCCCCTGCACCAAACCAACGATGGACTCAAATAGACCATATTGCCATCAGTCATCGTTGGAGAGGGTCAATAGAAGATTGTCGCTCATTCTGGGGTACCTGCTTGGACTCTGATCATGCCCTAGTACGAGCACGCATCTACTTGTGCCTCACTGGACGCAAAAGAGCCACACAAAAGAGACTCATTAGAACCAAATTGAGTAATGAGAAAGCCAAAAGTAGGTTCCAGGAACAACTGAGATCACACTTAGGTAGTTCTGAAAACGAGGCTGACCCCGATGTTGCTTGGAAAGTTATACAATCAGCTGTGGAAACAGCAGTGACATCTAGTGATTTAAACCAAAGGGTTACAAAGAACCAATGGATTTCTTCAAGATCTATTGCACTGATGGATTCTCGCAAACTCATCCCATCATGTTCTGAATACGATGAAGAGCGTAAAGAAATCAGATCTAGATTAAGCAAAAGTCTAAGGAATAATCGTGAGCAGTGGTGGGCAACGAAAGCAAAAGAGATGGAAAAGGCGGCGGCTATAGGGAACACAAGACAACTCTACAGACTAATAAAAGAAACTGTAATTAATAAGTCAAGTGTAAGTCAGACTATTTCGGAAAAAAACGACACTCTTATCTGCTCCCAGTCCAGATGCTTAGAACGATGGGCGGAACACTTTAAGGAGCAGTTTAGCTGGCCTTCAGCTACTCTACAACTACCCTCTATTCCCAGACAGTGTGAATGGAACATTGAAGTAGGTCCTCCAACTCTAGCTGAAGTTCAAAAGGCTATAGCTAATCTGAAACGAGGAAGGGCAGCTGGTCCAGACGGATTGGCCTCAGAGGTCTTTAAGGATGGTGGTCTAGTTTTAGCGATTAGGTTGACTAATATTTTAGCTAAAATCTGGGAGTTAGACGTTATCCCATCTAACTGGTCACAATCACTTATCGTCCCAATATTTAAGAAAGGGTCAAAATCATTCTGTGACAACCACAGAGGGATTAGTTTAAATAATATAATATCTAAAATACTAGCTTCGATAATTTTCGGACGCCTAACTAAGACTCGTGAACTGCAAACACGTGAAAATCAGGCCGGCTTCAGACCTGGTCGTGGATGCATCGACCACATATTCACCATTCGTCAGGTTCTAGAACACAGGCATACTTATCGGCGTCCGACAATGGTGGTCTTCCTTGACTTAAAAGCAGCGTTTGACTCTGTTGACCGAGAGGTTCTTTGACAGTGTCTGTCATTGAAAGGCGTACCTCAGAAGTACATAAACCTTGTGAAGGCTCTTTACTCGAACACTACTAGTCGAGTGAGAGCCTATGGCGAACTGTCATCTGCTTTTGCAACCTCAAGTGGTGTCCGTCAAGGCTGTCCACTTTCTCCTTTTTTGTTTAACTTTATCATAGACATCCTGATGGAAATAAAGCTCTCATCGACTGAATTCTCGGGTATTGATCTCCTACCAGAAGGTCCACTTATTGACTTAGAATACGCAGATGACATAGTCCTGTTTGGTGAAGACGCTGATGAAATGCAGAGTCTTTTGGTAGCACTGAGAAACAATGCCAGAATGTTTGGGATGCGCTTTTCTCCCTCTGAATGCAAGTTGTTGCTTCAGGACTGGTCTGCGTCAACACCTGAACTAAGGATAGGGGGTGAAGTAGTCGAACGCGTTGACAACTTCACTTATCTTGGAAGTCTGATCAGCCCTAATGGGTTGGTGTCTGACGAAATCTCAGCACGGATTCGAAAAGCTCGTTTGGCCTTTGTCAACTTACGTCATCTATGGCGAAGGCGAGATATCCGTCTATCAATTAAGGGACGAGTATACTGCGCGGCAGTTCGTTCCGTTCTTCTATACGGCTGCGAAACATGGCCTTTAAGAGTGGAAGATATTCGTAAGTTACTAGTATTTTACCACAGGTGCCTTAGGAATATTGCTCGCATCTGCTGGGATCACCGGGTAAGTAATAGTGAGGTTAGACGCAGGGTATTAGGGAATGATGGTAAATCAGTTGATGAGGTTATGAATCTTCATCGACTGAGATGGTTGGGCCACGTGTTGCGTATGCCTGAACACCGATTACCACGACGCGCAATGCTAACCGGTGTTAGGAATGATTGGAAGAAAGTTAGGGGTGGCCAAACCAAAACGTGGCATCAGTCCACGAAGTCACTAACTTCTAGTCTGAGCCATGTTGGTAGATGCTGACTGCCTGGTTGGGGTCCGCGTGACTATCGTAACCAATGGTTGGAGACTCTTGGTGACATGGCTCAGAATCGATCACAATGGCGTCGGTGTATACACTCTCTGTCTTCCTTAAATTAAGAGATTAAAATCGCTTCATATCTGTCTAGGAACTAATTCTTTCTTCCTTTACTATGTCCTTATACACAATCTTTCTTCTATATATTACCACCATTGAATCAACTACTCCTATGAATCCGGTGTTCATCTTGTTGTGCTAATGCGGTATGGCAACTTGGACCGATGCATATACGTGCCTGGTCCTACGTTGCAGCTGACTGACTGTTATTGTTTGTTGAGATACTGGAGAAGATTTGTAGCTCATGTGGATGATTTTGATGAAGTTTCGTTCTCTGAGCTGGATGGTTTGGTCGTGGAGCTTTCATAGTTCTTCTTCTGAACGATATCATCATCAGAACAAACTTTAGATAGAAGTGCAGTGTTCAAATTTCTCCATATTGTTTGTTTGTTTTACCGAAAGTATCACTTTCACTCCAAATCTATAGATTGATATATTTATTCTTATAGAGATTTCATTCACCTTGTCTCTAAATTAGTTATTCATGTAAAACAACACCTCACAAGAATCATGTTGACAATCATCCTCTTAATTATTGTTAAACTAGTTGTTGTTGTTGTTGTTGTTGTTGTTGTTGTTGTAATTCTAGAATAGATATCCTATGCTTCCCTTATGCTTGTTACTAGGCTGATTTAATTTCTCTACCTAGATACAAAACTACAAATGATGTAATCATTGAAATCATTTTTCAGTTTCATGTATTCTATTATAATTGTCTATTTGATAAAATCTATCATTTTTTTTCTTTAGTAGAAAAATGAAATTTTATAATGTATATTAACCATTGATACTTATTTATGAAATGATTAGTATTAATTCAATGTAACAAAATACCCCGGAAAACATATAAAAATATTCGATAATCAATATTTTTAATACATGGTTTGTGTATGTGTAATCAAATCTCAAGATATATAGATTCTTCAAAATGTTCATTGAACATATCTCGTTGGAGGGGATTCCATCAGTCAGTCAGTTAGCTACAATGTAGGATTAGGCACATATATACATCGGTTGAAATTGCCACACCTTACTTATTACCACAATAAGATAAACACCAAATTCATAGAAGTAGTTAATTCAATGATAGTAATGTATAAAACAAAGATACAGTACAAGAAGAAAGATAGAAAGTAATTTTGATCTCACCGTTTAAGGCAAGGCAAATTGTGTATACACCTACGCTATTGTTATCGGTTCTGAGCCATATCATCGAAAGTCTCCAACCATTCATTGTGATAGTTATGCAGACCCCAATCAAATAGTTTACATCTACTAACATGGCTAAGACTAGAAGTTAGTGACTTCAATGAATTGATGCCAAGTTTTGATTTGGCCACCGCTAACTTTCTCTCAACCATCTCCAACACTAGTCAGCATTATGCGTCATAGTAAACGGAGATATTTGACCTGTCATGATTCATTACCCATCTCAACGTTATTTATCATTATTTATAATAGAAAACAGATGATAAAATGTTTCACAATATATATAGTACATTGAAAATATAGCATCAGTCTGTCCAGTTATTAAATGTCAACTATAAAAGCCTACGGATTCAGGTCACTGATTCTATTAATAATAATATTGTGTTGACATATTTCTTTAAGTTAATGAAAAAGAAAAGAAAAACATCTCATTTCATAAAACATCCTTAGGTGAGGGGTGGGGGTCAGCTATCTATTTAATGTGAATAAAAATGAACATATAATATAAGATAGTTGTTAAGAGGTTAAGTAATGTATGACATCGTTTTGACCTTTAAAGAAACTATTCATGAATTCACTTTAATTATAAAAGAATTTGAAAAATACTAGAAACAACATCAATATATTGTACTTTAGAAGAGTTTTTGTGGATATTATAGTAATTTCAAATGGTTGAGATCATAAGTCAATTGAAGTTACACAACCATGGAAAGTTTGGAACCTGAGACTAATAGGTGCTGAGTTGGAATCTCGCGAGGTAGGATCGTGGATGCGCACCACGGAGGAGTAGTCCCACAATAGGATGAAATGGCCATCCAGTGTTTCCAGGTTATCTATAGTGGTCTAGCTTCAATTGACTCATGATCTAAACCATTGAAGTTATTTGTTTGATTATTTTATTAAAAACTTTTCAAAAAAATAATTTTGTTACTTAATAGCGTTTATTACTTACTTACTTACACCTGTTACTCCTAATGGAGCATAGGCCGCCGACCAGTATTCTCCAACTCACTTTGTCCTGGACCTTCTTTTCTAGTTCTATCCAATTCTTGTTCATTTTACTCATATCTATCTCCACTTCCCGACGTAATGTGTTCTCTGGTCTTCCTCTTCTCTTCCTTTGTCCTCGAGGATTCCATGTGAGGGCTTGTCTTGTGACGTAGTTCTGTGCTTTCCTGAATGTGTGTTCTATCCACTTCCAGCGTTATGCTTTGTAATAGCTCAGAATTACTTTTTTTCCTCTTTTTAAATCTCACTGATCATTTGACTAAACATATTTCTTCTACTATTTTTCTTTTTCTTTTTCACTATTATACAGAGTTCAATCGCTTTTGAAATTAAAAATGATCAAAAAGTGAATGTACGACGTTTACCAGCTTCAACTTCACAATCATCCACTCAATATCATCATAATAACATTAGTGATAATGCCAAATCACGAAAATTAGGACAATCAGCTAAGAAATTAAATCATATCAATTGTAAATCTGCATTTTCTTCATCTAAATTCACTACGGCAACAGCAGCAGCAACAACAACAACAATCAATCAATCAATAATACATCAACTCCATTAATCCCTCACTAATTTCTTAATGTGAATAATGTACATTATATATATTTTTTAGTGTAAGTGAATGTTACCTTTTATCATATTTAAAATTTTATTGATTGTTTCATGGAGTATTTTATCCCTAAATGAGAAATCATTGGTTCTGCACTATAATATATATATATATTCATCTTTAAACTTGTATCGTTTCTAACTTGACTACTTCATGGTTGTCACCATTTACACTTGATTATTTCTATTTTATTATTTTATTTGAATACATAGATATTGGTATAACGAGGCACCAAATATATATGCGCCACACAAATCTCATTTGGTTTGTGTGAGGGCTAGGATACTTTCCGGGTGCCCAAATCGAAACAGATGGTTTCCTTAGGGAGCCACACCCCAAGCCTTCGACCTGAACGTCTGATCCATAAGGCAGTGGAGCATCGTTAGGAGATGCAGTTCCATGGTAGCCGATGACCAACGATTGGTTCATACGCTATTTGTTCCTTCAGGATACTGAAGCTAGCCCATGTGTACCATTGGTTTGGGATCCGGTTATATCCGGCGCCGTACATTCGCTTTTCGTCCTCTCATTTTCGTAAACAACACCCGTGTTGCGAGAAGTCAGTGAGTAGGACTTCTCTGACAGAGGCTATATATGCATAGTCATGTGAGAGCATTTCGGGAGGGAGAGCGAACTCTCCCCACTCTCAGTCGTATCAGGGCATTTGGGAGCATTTACATCTGAACCCTTTTTTGTAATGCTTTTGCTGAAATATTATAATTTATGTTTGAAACCAATGAGTATCGAATCAAGATATGACATTAATCTGTTTGAATTAAGTATTGTTTTTTTCTCAACTGTATAGTGAAATATTTCATCTGTTATTTCCTTTTAATTAATCTACTTTTATACTATGGTATGTGCTACTGATGTCGACCGATATAAGTAGCATGTATCATCATTCACCAATCGAAATTGTAATACATGGTAGCAAAAGTTTAAGAAGATCAAATAAAATAGAACAAGAACAGAGAATGATTAGTGTGGGAATGAAAAAACAATGAATTATGAATTGATTGATTGAGATTTAGTAAATCAAGTATTTTACTGTATAGTTCTCAGATTTGACTAAATGTTTATGATAATATTAATAATAATGATTACAGAATTCACGCCAGCAGTTTACAGGCATGATCAATTTGGTATAAATAGTAACATGATATGTACAGAACAAACATGTGATAGGAGTTTTAAGGTTACTAGTTCAGTAATTGTTTAGGTGTTACAGCGATCCAATGCATCAGCCGAGAACATGTAATATTTCTTAACTGGACAGCCTGTTGATTTATGAACGGTGTAATTAAGATGATTTTGTGTGCCAGATTGAATTCATGATAATTATCTACAACTAGAGAAATTAACATGAAAACAGAGAGCACGGAACAACAAAGCAGTAATTACTGAAATATGTCAATCAGGTCTACTAGAATGCATGTGTCATGTAACACAGTGATATACTGTTGATGTTATTCAAATTACTTAAACTTGTTGGGGACGGTGTTAACATAAAGTGACAGCAAGTAGGTGGTTTTACTTAGGAAATGCACTAATAGAGATGCCTAAATATTTAAAGTTCCTATAATAACACTTGTGGAATGAGATACACTTACAGATGCTAGAACATTCAATTCATTCTCAGAGGAGCAGTATGCATCAATGCAACGAACAAATAATGGGAGTGATTTTAACGTACGGATATGTTATGGTAGGTTATTCCAGAGTCTAGAAAATTTACAGGCAAAGTAATTCATATAGAGAGATGATTTAGAATGGGTTTGTTTCACTAGTGCCAAGGAATTACGGATGTCATAATGAGAAGTTTCTGTATATTGAATCACGTGATTGGGTGTAAAGGCCAGACCGTTGTTGTTACCTTGACGTGGTGGTCGGGCTTGCCTATCGTGATGAAGCAACTGAGCTATACTAGCTGGAACAATTGTTCCTCAAGGTCCTACCGTGTCAGGCAGGTCGGTTAAAGAGTGGTAAGACTAAAAGCAACAAACTCAATGTCCGAAGGCGAAATCGTACTGCTGACTGTACAGAAGTGTGACAGCAGTAAGTTGTTTCCTTCAAACAACCAGCATAGCAGCGATGCTGTCTTCTCACAAGAAAGGGTGGGGCTAGAAAAGGTTGACCCTAAAAATGCACACCTCGCCTTATCCCACGGATATCTGTCTCCGGCGGTAAGGTCTCAACAAGTACGGAGCTAACACAAAAATTACTCATAAAAAGGTTGTGTGTGACCGACCTCAAGCAGCTGTCCCTTGGTCACTGCGGTCACACTCTCAGGTCACTATGACCACGTCTAATCCAATTTCGTTTTCAGGTACCTCCAGAAGACTGGGTGTAAAGGATAGTTCATTAAGTAGTTTGAATAAAAAGATATTGTGCTGAAATAATAATAATGATAATAATAATTAGCATCAAGTTATTCCATAATTGTTTCGTTTATTAATAATAACAGTAATGCCTAGTTACATAGTCAAAAAAATCATATATTCTTATTATTATTGTATTTAGATATTTTTATGATCTGAATTGTTCACAATTGAACCGAGAACAATAAGCTGGACAAGTATCGTCGTCGTTGTCAACTTCATCTTTTTCAATTTCATCATTGGAATGCATTCCAGTGAACAATCTTACTTTTTTTTCTTTCTTTTATTTTGATTACATAACTCACTCACACGCACTCACACACACGCATACACACATATACATTCATACTATTTTATTGTTCCTATCTTTAAATAAACCTTAATGGTACTTCCTATTCCACAATCTTCCTGATTTATTACTTTTTTTTCAGGTTTTTTTTGTACATTCGATTTCGTGTGTATCTGTATATTTGCCTTTTTTTGTTCGTCTTTATGCAATTGGTGTTGAATACTGTTGAATGTTTCATTTTGCCTTCTTTATCATCTTCATCATCATCAACATCATCATCACCACTATCATTCACATCTCTTTGTGTAATGCTTTTATTAATTTATTTTTTTACAGAATTTTTAAGGTATCCATACAAAAATAGGGGAGGGGGGGAAGACGAAAAAAAAAAAGAAAACCTAATAGCTGATCCCGGTTCTCCATATTTTTTTTTCCTTTTTTTTTTCTAAAAAATAAAAAAAAAATTATTTTATTCTACCATTAAAAGTTAGAGGTTGTATATTTTGCTGAGTGATAAAGAAAAACAAACCAAAAAAATTATTTAAAGAAAAATATAGTTTTTACAATAAAATGATGTGATTTTTCTTTCATTCAACTGTCCAACAACAACATTCAGTCAGTCAGTAACAATGTAGAACTTCTTACGTACATCAGTTTGAGTTGCCCTACCACATTAGCACAGAGATGTAGTTGTCGATTCAAATCCCATAGTGATTAAGGTAGTAACAGTATAAGTATTGATAAGGAACATTAGGGTTTGAAGATGTTATTCAAGGAGTATAATCCAGTGACACAAATTCGGAAAGAGAAAAAGAAAAGGGACATGAAGAATTCAAAAGATTAGAATTTGGGAGAACACAGAGAGTGGATGCACCTGCGTTATTGCAAACGATATTGAGTGGTCGCCAGTTAGATGTTAGCAATTTAGGAATGGACATCTGAATAATGTATATTGCTTTCGATGCATATTGCCAACAACCACAATGTCACTGATTAGGCTCTTTTGTAACTTGTTGAGGGGAATGTCATAAACGCGTCTGAATAGGTTATGCGATTAATAGACATAATGCTGTGTTGAATCAAACAAAAATCAGATAACTTGTTGAAATAACTTGATGGCAGGAACAGGTAGCCTAGATGTTCAAGCAGGCCGCCCAATGTAGATGTGTCCACTTCATGTTTTCAATTGATATACCGAATTTCAACATTTCTGAATAACATATTGGACTGTATTTATTCCATGCTCTTAACTGTTAGATATAATGAGGCTTGCCTGAATTGATCTTCTCTGATAATTTAGCATTTTTTCAAAGTACGTTTCAGTGTCTGCAAGCTTAGCTTGATGGCTTTATAAAGTACTTGATGATTACACGTAGGATATCACTCATCATGTACGGTTTCGTATACATCACTTTGAGCCACATTCTAAGTGTTAGTGCTAATGATATCACTCGGTTTCCCAAACCGCGGTAGATGGCTTAGGATTAGGAATATCACCATTACAGACGTAGGTCCATGGCTTCGAATAATCTAACGTAGTTATCAAGTAGAGGACTGAAGTTGGAAGTAGAATTCATCAGTTTGAATGTTTGACGCTTACCTCTAGACCTGTAGATCTTTAGTTAGCTCCCGAATATTTCTCAAGCGCATAGTTCTTACGAGTCTCATCCTAGGACCAAACAGTTGTCCAGTCCTTACTGATTTTCAAATATCATTTAAGATGAGTTCATGGCATTAAGTATGATGATTTGTGTATATTCTGAAATATGAATATAAATTAGTTTGATTAGTCTATATATTTTGGATTTTATTATGTAACCTGATTTGGACAGAAATTTTCTTTGATTAATATTAAAGTACTTACATTATTCAACTTCAATAAGTTACAAATGTATTGAACTTTAGTATACAAGTCATCTCTCACTATTCTTTATCGAATCATATGACTTCAAAGTGATGAAATCATACAAGTTTTACTATAAAGAATTGACCTTACCTAATGAAATAGTCTTTTATTCCAGTTAGTAAAAACCCATTAAAGATGAAAAATAGGAATGTGCTTTGAATAGAACTAAAAAAAAAAAATAATAGTTCAGTTTACATTATACTTTTGTATTATGGTAGATAATATACTGTAACCTATGAGCAATGTGTAGTTCGTAAATTTAAAAAAGAAATAAAACTGTTGTTTATGCCTCAAACCAGTTGGATTTAGAAGTTACTTACTTACTCCTGTTACTCCTCGTGAAGGAACATAGGCCGCTCACCAGGATTCTATATCCAAC